GAAGGATATATAATGAAAAATGTCTAAAACTTGTTTCAAGAATTCTACCAATCATATTTATATCCCTTGGTTGAATATAACCATTTCTAGCCTCTGGAGTCCATTTAATGTCCTACAAACTTTTCTAGTAAAGCCAGTTATCTTGCTCCATCTGCACTTTTTGTTTTTTTGTTGAGTCACTAGAGAAACACAAAGCTGGCTTAGGAAACTTGAGTTGAAAAGATTAAAAAATCTTTGAAAAATTTGATTGTTGAACATTAAATGCACTATCATAGCCGGCTATAGAGTCATAGCCGGCTTTACATCCATTTTCCACCCGAGCCAAATTATAAGTTTGAACTTTTCACCAGTAGAGCTTACTACAACTTTCATAGCTAGCTTTCTACATTTTTCTTCACTAGAGCCGACTACAGAATTGTCACGCCCCAGAACCCAAATCCGAGGACGTGGCAGACGCCGTGCACTCGTGAACGAGTCCCACAAATGCACAAGGCTCGGAACCTATTGAGTTCTTAATTTCCAAATTGGATAATTCAAATCTAAAAACTCAGGTAAAATCTAACCTTTAATTACCAAAAATTTACTAGTCAAGATGTATAACAGTGTATAAGATAGTTATGGCTATAACTAAGGAAACTCTGTACACAAAAATGGTTATTTAGGTCAACCATGTGAGACTAGCGGCCTAACTCCAAAAGATCTAAGTCCAAAATAATGCCTAGCCGTCTAGCTCGTCACTCCCCCGGCTCCCCATGTATCGGGTATCACTACCTGAAATGGTGGACAAGGAAAAACTAGGTGAGATAAAATATTTCAGTAAGTAAAATATGGATAGCCGGTGAGTAAAATTTTAGTATGCCTGATAAACAGTTTAACATAACAAAACGTTCAATGATAAATCGTTAGTGCAGAAGAAAATTCAGTAATAGTCTCATCTGTAAATCAATAACAAAGCGTTCAATGATAAACCATTAATGCAGAATAAAATTCAATAGTTGTCTCATCTATAAGTCATGGCCAATGTTTAACAAACTCCCACTGGCAGGCATCAGTAATAACCAGTGTTTAACAACTCCCATCGGCAGATGTCAGTAATAACCAGTGCTTAACAAACTCCCACTGTCAAGCGTCAGTAATTACCAATGTATTCGCCCATTGGCAAGCGTCAGTAATTACCAATGTATTATCCCATTGGTAGGATTATAGAATGAACCGATCATATTAGTAAACATGTCGACATGTGCCAGCATTTGCAAACTCCCACTAGCGGACGTCAGTAATCATGACTATATCAAAGACAAAACCATGCAGGATCTACAGAAAAATCCATAATTCACAATCGATCTCAAATTTCAGAAATAAACCGAAAAAATTTCCATGTGAGCATGAATTTAACAGAAAAATCAAAATTTACAAAATTCTCAGTTCATCAGGCAGTTCAGTCAATTCCAAGTAGGCATGCTCTACTTAATGCAAATGAAAACAATTTCATTTCAAACCAATAATGCTTGGTGCTAATAAAATCAATTTAAATCAATAAAATCAATTTAAACCTTGCCACCATCTCAAAAACAATTTAAAACATGCTTTGAAATCGAAGAGCGTTACCATAATTTACTTACCTCAAATCGCACCAAATAAAACACTAATCCCAAGTGTTAGAGTGCAAAATAATCAAGTACCTAATCAAAATATTTAAAAATTAATACCCATATAAAACAACATATTTAATCCTTTCCCAATTTAGCCGGCAATTAACCCCCATAATATCATATTTATTTATTTATTCATTTTTCTATCCGAAATCGAGCACAAAATCAATTGTGCATTTATATATTTGCATAATACACATAAAATTTTCCCATTTCTCACGGGCAGCACATGGAGAGCATGGCTTTGGCAAACCACAACTCACACACATGGGATTTTCTCTCCAGAACATCACAACAGTCTACTTAAACTAACTTCTACATGAATTAAGCAAAATCATGGTCCCATTTACTGCCGAATCCCCTCCTATTCCCAACAGAAAATTCGGACAACAATAAGGCAGCAATTCAACCATTAAAACTCAGCATGGAAACAATTAAATGACTTCAAATTCAGCTTTAAAAGCTGTTTCATACCAGAGAATTCTGGCAAGCCAAACCGAGCCTGGCGGGTTCAAAGGCTGGCGGGAATTGGAGAAGAACTAACACCAAATTGGAAAGAAATAAGAGCAATTATAGTGAACCCAAGCCAAATTAAGAGAGAAAAGATGAATTCCATGGTTGTTGCTTACCCAAAATAACCGAAAATTTCACCCACCCAGCAACAAGGAGCTCACCGCAGAGGGAAAAGAGCAGATCTGGAAAATTCTGGGTTTAATAGGTGTTCTAGAACAAGAAAAGGAGGAGAAATCTCCAAGCTTTACCGGTGTTTCTGGCCGGAGATGGGTGGCGGTAGCTGGGGAGCTTGTCGGGTTGCAGGGGGTCGGGAGGAAGAAGAAGAGCAGGACACGCATGGAAAGAAGAAAGAAAGAAAAAGAAAAAAAAAGAAAAAAATCAGTCAATCCATATCCTATTTCCTTTCTTCTAAGTCCCTGAACTTTCAAAGTTTCTATTCTTAAGGCCAACAATATTATTCTCTCACAATTAAGTCCATAACTCACCCTTAAATGTCCTAGAAAATTTGGGGGTATTACAAGAATTATAGAGCTAGCTCTTTGCACTTCATCATGTTTTTTGGATTTCTCCAAAGCCAATTGTAGAAAATCATAGTCACTTTCTGCACCAATTTTAGTATTTTGATTATTTTTTATTGCA